AAGCACACGTATTCAATTAAAATAACAATATCATCTAAAAATTTACGACTTCAGAGTCATATGTAATAAAAATATTAATAATAAGAATGATCAGAAAAAATATAAGAAAATTTTAATAAATATGTACAATAAATTAGACTTTGGTCAAATGGAAAATGAAACGAAATTATGCAAAATCTGCAGATTTGTTATAGCGCCTAGGAGCGCAAGGACACAGCGGCGAACGTGACTGCTCGAAATTGAATTTGGCCCCTAACTATTTCATAAAAGCTTAGTTGTTATATAAACACCTAATGTATATGCATGTGTGTTTGCAAACTACTACACACACTCGTCCACATAATTTTCGTTACCTGTCACGTTCGCATGTCACTGACGATGCACAAGCAATGAAACTAATTGAATTTTCGTAGCGCAAATCGCACAACCCAGAACAATGGTGTAGTAATACGAACACAAATGCAAATACATATGTACAAGTATGTATGGTGCTAATTTGTTGGACCAAGAAAGTGTTACGTAACCAAATAAATAAAGTGGGCAGCTGTGTAAGTTTGTAAATCGGAAGACTACGCAAAGCACAGTTGAGATTTGTGAGACGGTGGATTAAGGAAAACGTGGGAAAGTTGTGAAAGCAGCGCCGGTGTGTAAGTGCAGTGTTCATGCGGTCACGGGTGACACCAAAAATTTCCTCCTTTGTTTTTGATTGCGCATTTCGAATGCGTAGATGAATGGAGAACGTTCAAATGAGTTGTGGTTTAGGTTTTGACAGAAACAAATGGAAGTTATTAATCTCGGAAAGGAGAGCTAACAAATTTGGATATTCAACTGTATGCTAATTAGAAGACATTACTTATGAGATTGCAGGATACTATGGAGAAAAATTGGGTTCAATTATGTAAATTCGAATATTTCTGTTAAAAATATTTTTAACATTTCATATGTCTAATTAATTGGTGAGGTATTAAACAGTTTCTTGAACACCTTGCCATCTATTCCACGAGTAAAATTTCACCCAAAGTGGTTTTTATATTTAAATTGTGAACGCAAAATTGATCGACACAAAAATGTTTGTGTGAAGGTCGCAAAGTCTTCGAAATCTTAGCACATTCGAGTGAGATAGCCTTCTAAGAGAGATAGCAGAGGATCTCAACAGCTTTAATAGATCGACTTAGCACATTTTGGTGACTGTTATGAGTATAATGCGTGTCTATGCAACATTCTTAGACCTGAATATTTTGAGAAAACGTCGTATTAGGGTATATCGGGAAATCGTTATCGTTATGGACGACGAAAGTGTCCAACAATCCAGCGAATGGCACTTCAAAAATAAACCAACACTAAAGAAAAAATAAAATTGGCTGAAGGCTAAGAAGGCCGTTCCAACCTAGGCTTATATCAAGCGTTTAAGAAAATTGAAAAATAGTCCGGGTCAAATTTGATCAGTTGTCCTTAATTCAAGCTCAGTGGTAATTTGCAAAAATATTTTTATAATACCGTTATAATGAATATATGATTAGCAAAAAATTAGTTTCTATGCTACCAAAATATCTCATTTATCATATTATGATATAACTTATATATCAATTAATATATATTTTTTATTTACTGGAGTCATTGTTTGTGCTCATACACATATTTGGGCGAATTATTACAAAGCCTTATAAATAACGTTGTAATGATTTTTATTAACTTCCATTATAGTTATATACATTAAATATCGAAAGACGACTCAAATAAGGTTGACTAGGAGGATTGAGTGGCTTCGGAGATTTACCGTATTCAAATATATTCGAGAATCATACCATAAGACAAAAAATAGCAGCCTTTGTCATTTTATAGACAGACCTGAAACTTTCCATTATTATAATTATACTGTTACAAAAAAATAAACGAGTTCCCGCGAACTGTAGCCAACCCAAGACAATTCAAAATCCAATTCACGTCACTAACGTCAATTAATTTAAACTGAATTTCCATGAAGGAGAAGGAGCTAAATATATGTGTGTATATATTTTAGCTGAGAATCATTAATAAAGGTAATAAACGAAATTACCTAAATATTCCAAAAAATTTTACACATTTATAGTACTTTATCTTAAAATCTTTTTAAGTGGTGACAATATTCTATAACTTCTATTCGTTATTTAAAACCAAGCATCTTTCATATATGTACATACATATCGGCAAAAGGTTGCAGAAAAATGAAACTAATACAAAATAAAAAGACAGCACTATTATGATTGGCAGTAGGAAGGCATAACTAAAATTTTTGGCTCATATTTATTAGGATAACCTTAAAACGGGTGATCCAAGTAAAGGTACTTTTTTCAATAGCCTTTTTTTGACAGATCACGCGTGAGTCGTGTCAAGCTGTCATATTATTTTTCTTCAGTATTATTTGGCATTTTATTGTTTACAAATCGCTCCACTTATGCTCAACATAATCGGCCTACTGAGCGTACTATTCGCAACACCATCACCCATCTTGAGACACAGCATTCATTATTGGATAACATTCTACCAAATAGAACACGTCCAGCATGCAGTGAAGAAGATACAACGGCCGTAGTTGAGATTGTACACGAAGACTGTGGAGAGTCGATTCGGCGCTTTTCTCAGTAACTCGGACTGACGTATGGAACGACTTGGCGCATTTTACGTCGACATCTTAAATTGAAAGCGTACAAAATACAGCTTGTGCAAGAACTGTAGCTGCAAGACCTTCCCAAACTGCAAGACCTTCTTGAAAAGCTCCAAGAAGATCCGAAGTTTTCGAGCCAAATTTTGCTCAGCGATGAGGCCCATTTCTGGCTCAATGGGTATGTCAACAAGCAAAATTGCCGTACTTGGGACGAAGAGCAACCTGATGAGATTCAAAAGCTGCCATATCGTCCAGAAAAAACACGGATTATGATAAGTTAGCATAATCTGATTGATGGAGAAACCAACCTCATCACTGATAATACATTTTTTTTTAAGCTGCGAAATGCACGCAATATATTACGAGAGAGCCGATTCGGATTATTACTTTTTCAAATACATACATAAGAAAAGAAATTCGTTGTATATGTATGTATGTAAATAAAATATGTGGATTTCATATGAGAATATGCTGAGAAAATGAAGCACATGAAGGAAATAAGAATAAACTATGATGGATGATGCCATATTGGCTCAGCTGCAATAAAAATGGTCGAAAAACATAGAAAGTAATTTACCAATAAACTCATTATAATGGAAATATGTATATCAATGATAAATATATAATATTTAATTACAGTGAGCTCTTAGTTTTACGAATTTTTTTGACATTTGAATATTTACAACAATTCGCCAATATAAATATTATGATTATTATTGTACGCATTGATTCAAGTAATCAAATTAATTTCGTATTTATGGTGATTAGGCAACTTCAATAAATCAAAATTAATTTGTGGCATTTAATTCCCGTTTACGGATAATGAGATTTTCATGCACAGATACATGAAAATACCCACATATGTATATACTTGTAGTACTCATGCGGGCATATATTGATATATGTACATATGTGTATATGTGTGCGTGTATTTTTATTTACAAGTCAATTAGCACACACTTTACGTGCTAACTGAAATTACGGTAATTGGCTTTGACGGTGAAATTGTGCGGATGAAATGTTTGTATTGTATTGGAGGGCCAAATCCCGACTGCCTGCCTGACCGTGCAAGTTCGTTTAAACGCTTGCACATGCGTACAGACCATATACTTGTAGTAAGTACTTAAGTATGTATGCGAGTATATGTTGGCAAAACGATGAGTGTGTTAGCATAAGTAAGCATAATAAATAATAGCCTCCAATCCTCGCCACTATCCGCTACATATGTAAATGAACGTGGATGCAAGTAATTACTCAATTACAAGTATGTTGAGTAATCATACGTCAGTAACTGGCTCCACAAAACTAATTAGGGGTCATCGAGGTACCAAAGTTGAATTGTTGAAAAGATTATTCTGCTTTAAAAAGATAAAAATGCCTTCAATAATAATTATAATAATATTTAATTTTGACTGGTGATTTTATATGCATAACCCTTTGTATCGTTTTGTATAATATTGATATTGAGGATGGCCAGCTGCAGTCTTATTTTCCAAATTATGAAAAAGTGATCACAATGATTCCCTCTAAGTCGTTAGCTCGATTACTTAAATATCTGATAAAAATCTATTCGAGGAATTTTTATTACGATTTGGTTAAAAATGTATACGTACAATAAAGAATGTTGTAAAAAATTTTCACGAAGAAATATTAAACAAGAAAAAAACATTAAATTCGATTGCACCGAAGTTATACCCTTTACAAATTAAAAAGTTTTCATGCAAGAACTCAATTTTGATCGGTCAGTTTGTATGGCAGCTATATATTATAGTCGCCCTGAATAATTTTTTTGGATATTATACCGTTGCATTGAAATATATTCCATGTCAAATTTCGTGATGATATCTAGTTAAATAAAAAGTGTTTCATACAAGAATTTGATTTTGATCAGTCTGTAGGACAGCCATACGCTATAGTGATCCAATATTGGCGGTTCCGACAAATGAGTAGCATCTTGTGGAGAAAAGGACGTGTGCAAAATTTGTAATCGTTATCTCAAAAACTAAGGGACTAGTTGTGGAATATTCAGGCAGACGGCCTTAGCTAAATCGACTCAGCTGAGCATGCTGATTACTTATGAATATACATATAAACAATTTATAGCACCTCCGACGTATACTTGTGGCTGTTGCAAACATAACATACCTTATTCAGGGAAGAAGCTTTTTGGAGAACGTGATTGCCACTTGGCAGTTAATATAAAATTTTCGAGTTACAAAATACTTCTAATTCATTATAATATAAATGCTCAAAAGACTTAACTAAGCCTCAAAGTTGTTTAGAAAATTTTGTTGTTTTTAAATTGTTTATTTTTTGTTAAAATATTTTAGAAATTTGTATACTTTTAGGTACATACCTAATTCAATATTATGAATATTTTCAATTAGCGGTGCTGCGTCTAAATCGTCAAGCTAAAAATAAAAACAACAAAAAAGAAAGAAAAGGAAGCAATAAGTAATTGAAATAAACTAAAATTCAATAATAAAATAATTAAAAAACCAAAATAATTCATATATATATGTCTGTAGAAAGATCAGAAAAATTAAACTTTTTATGTTTTGTTCAAACTTTTATTAAGATGTCTTCAGATCAATTAGTTTTTTGAGTTTTTTTTTTGTTTGAAAAGAATTTCAAAAATATTAAAAATTAAATAAAAAGCCATGAAAAGTCAAAAATTTATACAAATTATATAGTTACATAGAAAAATTTAGAACATAAAATCAATAGGGTCCTGCAGATCTGTGTTGATCCCTTTGTCTTGTCCTTAATTTTTTATGTTTGTATACATGTGTTCAGCAAGTCTTCTTCTTATTCGGTTCTTTTGCAACTATGGATTTCAAATTATTTCATGACGATTTTCTTGACAATAAAGAATTAAGACTTCTACACTTATTTTTGTTTCATTTTTATGTTTATTTCTTTGTTTTAGGCCAGTGATAAAGCCATTAGAATGGTACAAAGTGAAAAGAAATTGGTGTTGAATGAAACCAACTGGAAAAACGTTGATAAAATAACAAATTGAAATGGAAAACTAATTTAATGGCGATCTGAAGTCGAAATGAGGAAGGGGAGAGGAAAACTTACGATCGCTATATGACAAAGTTGTAGGTAATAAAAAGATTTATAACTTTCTCGTCAACTCTTTTTTCACGTAATCTCAATATTTTTATGCGAAAAATTCAACTGACCAAGTTTTCGGTTATTTATTTATTTTCTTTTATACAATGTTTTTTCTTTTAGTCACCCTCCTCCGCTACATCTTCCCGACCTCAGATCACCCGTAAAATATTTTTCCTTTCAAGTTTTTTTTTTGTGTTTACTTTATTGTTGTTTTTATTTTTTGCTCCCAAAAATAATCGACCTTGGTCTATTACACCTCTGAAAATATTTAATTAGGTTTATTTCCTGTTTGAATTAGTATTTTTTTACAAAAAAAAATGTGATAATTAAGTTACTTAATTATTTAAATTAATTATATATAATAATATACTTAATTTTTTTTATATACAAAGTAAAATATTCTGCTTAAAAAATTAGCATTAAATTATGAGAATAAATGTAGCTCTATTTTCTCCTCCATATGCTCTTTCAAGTGCAAGGTATGTATGTATGTATGTTTGTCTATTATATGCATATAAATGCAAATCTGCTACGGCTTGCACAATGGTACGCGACTTACGCACGCACGAATATACGCACAAGCCGTCGACCATAAAAAATCTCTCTGCGGATTACCGTTGAGCGTTGGTGCAGTGCGCAAACCCACACATACGTCTCTGACTTGATGAGCATTTTTACTACCATCGCAACTTATAAGTACATACTCGAATATTTATGTACCTAATACTATTCAACTATGTATATGCTATTCAGCGCAATCCATGCTATATTTGTATGTGTATATACATGTGTGTGTGTGCGTTCTTGTGCATCAACGTAAAGTTCTGTAATTTCGTAATTTCGTCACGTCCATTTACTTAACTTTACTTCATTCACTTCAGCGCTATTGCTACTGCTATTGTTGTTGTTGTTTTTGTTGCTCTTACTTTATGCATTCATCGAAAGCCACAAAGTTATTAGACACAGAAACTAAGCATGTTTGTTCGCACACGTTCGGTGCTGGTGGCACTGTCATTTCGGTAGTGGGCAGACGCATTTCATTGGTTTACTCATTTCCCAAATATGGTTGGGTTAAAGTGAGTGGTTGGATTATGGATTCAATAAAGAAGTACGTAAAATCCTTAAGTGTATGAGGTATAAAAAATAGTTTGTGTAAGTATAGATAAATGCAGTTATACTGATGTGTATGAAATTATTATTAGTGTTCACTAGGTTATATTGTTTATAAGGAATAACATAAAGTCCAAGTACGATTGGATCTAAATAAAAATGATTGAGGTTATGATATTTGTGTAAGGTAAGTGATATGGATTAACAACACCAACAGATATAACATTCAAGACGCTAGAACTTCGAACATTTGTCTACAATCACTTTAAAATTCTCAGAACTGCGCCTATATCTTACGAGAAATCATACACCATATTATTGCAGGTTCTGAATATGCTATTCTGAAATATTTTATATGATTGGTTATCCAGTGAAGAAAAATCAGAATATTAAATTTAATTCTTCAATACATATTTTGTGAAGTATGAGCCTTAAGAAAGCAGAATCAAGGAGACGAGATATGGGTTTATGAATTTGATCTCGAAACTGCTCTACAATCGAATGGCGCTACAAAAATGAGCCGGCACCGAAGGAAAGTGATCCTCATCGTTTTTTTTTTAATGCATAACTCGCCACGAATTCATTTCTCAGGGTTAAATAGTTAATAAGGAATACTACCTAGCCATTTTCAGCCGACTGACTTTTTGACCAAACACGAAACGAGAGTTTTTGAAACTGAAAAATCCACTTCGGTGAACGCGCCATGAGTTTATGGCCGCCAATTCCAATAAACTGCAGTACTGAAAACAATGAAACCAAATCAATGCACTTAATCCAAACTTTTTAAAACTATGTAAGCCGGTTTTCCTTGTAATTATAGGGAAGTAGATACTTACGAAACGTAGAAAGCTTAAAGAGAGCAATTCTTAGCTGACTAAATAAATTTTAGCTGTCAAAGATTTTAGTGCCACGTTCGTATGCGAGCGATTGCAACTGCATATTATTTCATATATATTAACTTTATTTGCCTAGCTTTCCGTAACCGATCAAACAACAGTGTAGATTCTTTATACATATCTGCCCAACACTGGTTAGACAAAGGCTAAAATTGTTTGCATAGACGCTGCTAGCATATTGCCTCATTTGTTACGCTTTTGAACTGTCGAATAGTTCAGTGCTACTAAAAAATATATTCGGTGAATTCAAATATAATATATATTACATATAATATAATACTGGACAGTTCTTTTTCAGTGCTGTTAGCTTGTTTTAACAGCTGATATAATGTGTTGGATTCAAACGCTTGGCAAATCGAACTTTATTAATATTTCTGTACATTTTTAGCATTTTTTTTTGCCCATTTTTTTTGATTTTTAAGTTCTTTGCAGTCGCGATTAGTTGCAACATAAAATATGCATCCGATTCGCACAAATGGATTATTTACACACACTAACACATACAAATACTTACCACTAAGCCGCAAAACACTTTAACACTTCTAATATTTACCTTATAGCATTTACTGAATCGTTACACTCAACCATAGAAGTGAGTGACAAGTATATGTACATATGAAAAGGACATACATACATACATATTTCATATGAAGGTTGTGCTCAGACGAAAGCTTATAAGGAAAATATGAATAAAAGGCACACACAAGTCACTTTGGCGCAGGTAAACACAAGTCAAACCATTAAATGGCATGCAAGTGTGTAAAAGTGAAAAGATAAAATCGAAAAGTTTGCTGAGTGAGTGTAAACAATGGACGAGCATGGCGTGAATTCCTTCAAAAGTCGACAAGAAAAATGGTGGTGACGCTCGATGTCTATGTATGCATGTGTGTATGTATATTTGGTATGTAAGTGTGCGTTAACCATTCGAGTGCAAATACGTCGCCGTCGGTTGAAGCCTCTTCGTTGTGGTCTGTTTGAGTTTTAATAAAATATTGAAGCAATGAATGCATTGGAAAGGTGCAAATAGTTTAGCTGCTGATGTGACTACAGATAGACGCTAATGCAAGTGAGCATTAATGCCAACACGCCACCGTATGTGTTACTCTATGTATAAAAAAAGTGCTACAAGCATTGTTCGCGCAAAGTGTTTAAGTGAAAATATTCTACGACTATAATTTCTCTGATTTTCTGGACGAGAAATTTTCGATGGTCAATTTGCTGGAAATAACTTGTTTGGGTTTTTTTTTTAGTAAACTTATATCGATCTAAAATTTATAAAACGTACTTCTCTCTACATCGGAACCGTCGATATCGCAGCACTATAGAATATAGCTGGAATACAAACTCATCGGTCAATATCAAATCCTTCCCAGGAAAACTTTTTTTATTAAACAAGATATCTTCACGAAATTTGAAGCAGAGTATTTTTCACGTCAGCGCTATAGTCTGCAAACAAATTGTTCAGATCGAGCCACAACAGCATAAAGCTGTCATATAAATGGATCGGTAGAAATCAAATCCTTTTATGGATTTTTTTTTTTTATTCGACAAAATATCTTCGTAAAATCCGGCATAGAGTATTTTTCAAGGCAATAATAAGATAATCAACTTTGAAATCAACATATATGGGACAAATATATTCTCTGGCAATGATGCAGAAGTACGACCACTTGACCTTACCTAAGTATGGTATTTAAAAGACGGCCTCATAATTCTTTCAAGTGCAATCTTAGTTTGGAAAACTTTGGAACTCGCCATTATTGACACTAAAGATACTTGTATGGTTTTTACCTTTATGTATTGATTACCACACCGTAGGTCTTGAGATCAATCCCTTGGACATATTCTTAAATATGTGATATTTCTCTGTGTCTACCATTTTACTGTTATCAAAAATACCAAATACAAAATATATTAATAGTAATATAACGAATTTCCAGCCTTAAAGTATAATGATGGGGTTAGGGGTTAGTGTATAATTGATTGAATAACCGAACCTTGGCAGGACTACCTTAACCAGTCCGGCAGTATTATAATTAGACTCGTAATTCCCAACGCTTAATATCTATATATGAAAGTTTCCGAGACACATAAGGTACTAACAAATATCCGTCTTGTCACGATGTGACTAAACCCACCGTCAAGAGCCAATTTTCAAGCACCTCCCTTCCCTTTAAAATTCGCTATGTTTTTACTTTTTTCAGTCGGCTTGTTCATAAGCGTTTTAACAATGGATGGGTCCTCAGTTGGCGCAAATTGGTTTAAGTTATACCATCTCATCAAAT